GTTACGGCCAGTTGGGTTAACGATCAGTTGGGTTAACGGTCGGTTGGGTTAATGAGCCCCAAACGGTCGGTAACCGGCATGTTTATGCCATAGGGAGTATCCCGGTAGCGCGGGAAGCATCGTTCGCCAATATTAATTAAAGGCCTCTAACGCTGCAGGAAAATTTTAGTAGAAGATTTAGAACTATGTATTTATTTAGTTTTAGCGTTTGTTCCCGCTTTGAGGGCGTGAAATGCCGTGTCATTGTCCCTAATAAGTCATTGTCCCGGCATTTCAATTGTCGCCCATAAGCATGAACCAGGCCACCAACTCACAAGCTTACATGCAACAACTAAAACCAGGCAATACTAGCTACGCAAGCTATGCTAGGACAAACTTTTGAGACAAGGCATCCTCCAATTGGCACGCGGTAAATTGACTTAGATTGTTTGCCCTGGCAAACTTATGTACTCCAAACTCATCCACTGGATAGATCTATCCGCAACTCTTGGTATTGGCTCCCTTCCGATGGGCTGTTATCAATGACCCAAACCAGTTTTCAACCCAACCCTTCGCATATCTGATTGGAAACTCCACCCACCTCGTCACAATTTGTGGCATTTGTGGCATTAACATTCCGCGAGGGCTTTTGCAAGCCTTTTGAAGCGGTGGCATCAAAGGTCAGTTTCTGCCTGTCGACAGCCTTACCCTGTCCAGGGACCGTGCGGTGGGTACGGGGAAGAGAGAGACCGTAGCATCCGACAGTTGGTCGACATGCACTGCAGGCAATTCTATCCAAAAATCATTTCACCCAAGAGGCGCGCGGAGCGGATATCATCATCGCCTGTGCAATTAATAAGCCCGGACATGAGATATAGCTCGCCGTATCGGAAATGCGAACCTTCGGTGCTGTGCCACACGTCCCGATGATGATTAATGCGGTCGTCATTATCACTCTGGGAACCGGCCTCCCTTCGATTTCCCGGGAAAATCCCTTCATTTGACGTTCATTCCTTGTTCATTCCGTGCTCATTTCGTATATGCTGCTCGTTACTTAGGCGTGGTTACGGTTATTAATGGGATTCTCGTTTGTAAACCACTTTTATAATTCAGTAAACATGAACCCAGCCACCAGGAACATTCTCCCCCCCCCTCAAGAAACCCTAAGGCCTAACCGATTGAGGAACATGTTAAATGACGAGTTCAGAAAAGTACCGATCGGTGGATGCAGATCCCGTGATAATACTACGGAACACCCGCGACTGCTGGATGCATAACCGGCACATCTTGTCAAGCATGCGCCGCACATTCCACATACCGTGGCATCGTATAGTTGTACCGCGCAGGAGCGCTCCTTGGTGGTGGTATCGTTCATGTATATCGGAATGGGTGGCGAGAGGTTCACTGTCTGGCCAGCATTAACTGTAATCATTCGAGCCTCGATGGGCCATACATTGTTGAGCGAGCAATCGGACACAACGATGATGTAGTCTGCGGGCAAGAGACCCATGTTGGCGACACTCAAGAAGATGTGGCCTCGGGTGATGAATCCCAAAGATCCGCAACTCGTGGTGCTACCGAACTCGCACATCCGCAAATTGGAAAGCTGTGGGTGGGGTATGATGGTCGGTATGGTAGTCAGGAGGGTTTACAAGCGATTAATTGGACCAACAACTCTACGTACCCGCAAATGAGGTTAGAAGCTTAAGATAATCGGTAACAACAGAACAGAAATAGACAGGAGCAGGAGGGGAATGCAGGAGCAGGACGGATGGGACAGAGCTTATGGGAAGTAGAAGCTGGGAGGAGTAGAAGCAAGCTGGAGTGAAGATAACACCGATGGTCAAAGACCAAAGGTCTCCGCGGATGCTCTGCATACCGAGATCTTCTGGACTAAAGCACATTTGTACGGCATTCGTTGTACGGCCAAGGAATCGTGCTGCACAGGATGATCAAAACATATTCCTCGGTAGGCAGGGCGGATTTCTGTACGGAGCTACGGAGCTACATTCAATATGAGGGTCGGGCCATTAACTTGCATAGAACTCTCAAGAAACTCTGAATCCACCATCATGCAAAACGCGGGGGGCAGGAGGCACTACGGCGTGTTGTTCAAGTGCAGCAAAGCATTATGTAGTAGTAATGGCAATCTATCGCTAAGTAATAATTACGTTTGGTATTATCCTGGGTATCACGGGATCTGTCATCCGCCGATCGGTTCTTTTCTGTGAAAGACGTGATATAATATTGCGTCACCGTACACTTCATGTATGTACGTACACCGGACGTACCTTGCCCGGACTAAGTGCGGTTGTCATCTGCACTGTATCAGCCGACACGGTGAGCATCACTGAGGGTGGCTGGCTGGCAATGGGCAGCCGCAAGTAAATGGCGCCATCGATAGCATCTACCTGTCCAGTACAGGTACGGATGAATGGTGCAGACACAACCACGGCAAAAGGTGGGTATCGAAAAGGAAGGCTATGAAGTATGCATGTTTTCAAAGCCTATGGCTGCTGTTACGTGGTGTGTATGTTGCGACTGGTGCTTGCCAGTTATGAGGATTTCGCATCCTGGGGTTTAAACACCTCACCGCCATTCCGTTGACTCCATTGAACTGGGAGAGCAGGTAAAGTGGCGTCATCCCGGAACCGATCCGTTTCTGATCACCCTCGAAAAGATCCTTGAGTTGATTTCTCAGGCAGGTCTGTGAGCAGTGGAAATAGAAGGGAGGTGTGAAGGATAAGAACCAGCTGCAGAGCAGCAGGAGGGATGGATAGGGTACGGAAGGGAATGACGACGGCAGCAGCAGGGCAGGCAGGCAGGCGGGAAAGTTTGGATCACATAGCCAACCGCGGTTGGCTATGTGCTAGACTAAGACCCGGCCGGGTCTTAGTTTAGCTTGCTTGCTTGCTTGTGTAGATGGTAGGAAGCTTCCTATAGAACCCGATAGGATCTCTAGATGCATCACCGGTGGAGGCCAGGCATAACTAGCATGTGCGAGCGACCTCCGTCATATGTCTGGCAAGGGACCGGGCACAGGAATGGGGAACCGACCACCCACCGATTCCGTACGGAAACAGGCATTTTGCTGGTTGCGGAATGCCGTGTAACTCGTGCCAATCTTGTCGCAGGAGAGGCCTACAGGCAGCAAGCGAGCGTGCATGCGGCCAAAAATCGCTTGCTTGATTAGGACACGCATATGCATTTGGCGGAAGTGCATTTATCCGTTCAGGTGAGAGCCGATTGAGGGTCAATGGACAAAAGGAAACACGGAAAGGGTGCCACACCAGTACTAGTGGGTCACATCATACAGTGACAGGATTCTATCCTCATCGATGAAGCTGCAGACCAAGTCTGCTGTCGTGCGTCGCACGAGTGAAAACTATGCAATAATGACCCCCCCCCTTAAAGCTGCATTAGTGGACACTAACGAAACAACACTAGTGCTCCTGTCTGTCGCTGTCGACAATTTGTTGCTTGCCCTAGTCTATCGCAAAATCCAACATGAGGCAGACAGGCTGACTATTTTGAATGCGCATCGGGATGTTGTACGGGCCCGTCCATTCTCTGCACCTCGTCCTGATGACGTATTGTGGTAGCTAGTACACAATTCGGCAAACATAACAACTGCAAATACGCGGGAAGCACCTGACCAGCATCTCGGGAGGCCCCGAACAAGCATCGCGGCTCACCGTCGTATGTTACCATTGTGCGGTTCACCATCATCCATGTCCTGCCATTGACAGGAACTGAGTCCCCGGGATAAAGCTCCGTTTCGTTGAAATCAGCTCGTGGGATCATCAAGGCCCGGGTTCTGTGCTCGTGATAGGGTGGGTTGAGGGACAGCGCTGAGCTGGAGAGGTTCAGCGCCTCTTACTCGACCACTCGGGGAAAGACTCGCTTCCATATTTGCAGAGCAGTCCGTAAAAATAAAATGAGGACTTAGGGTTTTCCGTAAATGCTGGCCCCAAGGATACGGAAGCCAAAATACGTCAAAAATACGAAAGACAAAATGGTGTACGCAAAACATTGAAGTGTTTAATTAATGTACAAAAAAAATTATCGTTACCATGGTATGATAATGTGAAGCAAGTTCGAGCGAGGGATGTCATGCAAAGATGTATGGAACGGTAGGACCCTTCCGTGAAATGACGGCCGCGGCATACATGCACCCGTAAAATCATAGACACGGATTAACGGGGCCTGATCGACCCCGAGACGTTCGGAAGGGTCTCGTCATATGACGGTCCTGATCAGGATCCTCACAAGCTGAGTGGCGACGAGGTGAAGAACTTAAAATAAAGCCCGGGCCCTGCCATGTACCCCATATGTGTAGACATACAGACAGACGAACTTACAAATTACACTCATATGCCATCCATACTCTTATATTTCCTTTCCGCAACCCCCGGAACGCACCGCACCATGCACGTACAGCAGAAACGCGTTCAGCAGCAGTTTCTCATCTGCGCACTAGCCATGCATACTCTCGGATTAGGGTGCCCCTCTAGCATGGGAGAGCAGGGAACTGCCTCGGGAAAGGGGGCCGCTGGTGAAGCTTAACCACCCTGTAACGACATACTCTCTTACGTACCCTAGGTCTGGCACCTGTGCGTATGAGCTTAAGTCCCCCAAAAGCCTGGCCGATGTCATTTTGTTGCTGGTTGTTACCAGTGGACCGGCAAGAGTGAGATCCAGAGACTCGCTCCTTGTGATAACAGTAGACTTGGAAATCCTCAATGTGCCATTGACGTAAGCCATGCTGGCGGGCTTCCCGGCGGTGGGGATATGCACTTCTAAGCGGACTCCGAATTGCAGCGTCCCGCCGGGCCTAAGGTTGTACCCCTGCACGCGGGTTTTTTACATAGCAAGACGCATGGCAGGTATAACAACGGAACAAAAGCGAAAGGAAGCATTGCTAAAATGGGAAAATCAGTAAAATGGATGTACGGGGTGGAGGTATGGATGGCGCGCAGCACAGCAGCAAGCAGCACAGCAGCAACCAGCAATGAGCCGGGGGGCCAGCATAGCTCGAAAACGACAGCACGTAGTGATGCACTCTAAAAAGCAAGGGTACATATGATGTGTGGGACAGGGGGGTTATATCTTCACCCTGCGGCCGCTACCCGGCAGATCTAGACCCTGCCTTCCCCGGTATTTCGGGGCACCCTCATCCAGTCACCCTAGCCAACTTCTCAGTAGATCAGATCGCTCAGGTTCCGCACCCACCACCACCGGCATCCAAGGGAAATCTGCCGGATCGGCGGCGGCTCAACTTCCATTCCTGGTCAGCTCGCAGGTCAACTTTATCCCAGGTCGCCACCGTCCATCGACTAGGGGCATCGACTAGGGGCATGTACCTTTCACCATCGTGTCACAACATTTTACCGTCAGGTTCAATTCACCGTCTTTTATTCTCGTCTTTGTTAATATCTGTATAATTATGCGTATTCCGTGTTGTCGCTTACTCACGTAAGGTGTTTGGTGTTTGCCTCGCTTCGCTGTTCGACTTGTGGACGACTAGTATGCGAATGCATACTCATTTGTGTATGCGTGTGTATTTACATTGTAAGCTAGTCTGCCGTACGCATATGTTTTGTCGTTGCTACAATCGTGTGACGCGACAATCGGACGCGACATTTTTCAACTCTGACAGGTTTCGATCCCGGAACATATGCATGCTTCACGCCATCGCGAACCCTCACTGCCTTTGACAAGGAAACACAGACATATCCGCCCGACTGCCGTAGGATGGAGTATCGAATTGCGTACAGGTCTGTAATGTTACATGGGCAACCGATTGCTACACTTCTCCGCCCAGCTAAGCCTGCCGGAGCATCAATGTGACGACGGGCGGCTTGGATTATTATCTCCGTACCCCTTCCCGGCTCTCCAGCCACGCAGGGCTCATATGACTCGTTACGGCGCAGCCAGGATAGCCGCAAGCCAACGATGTAAACAAAAGTCCCGCGCTAATCATGACCCAGCCACCTAGGGCTGCCCAGGGGGAACCATGCGCAGCACAGCACACGGCGCTTTCCAACAGCCTGTACTGAGTAACAAACATCCCCAGTTGTACCCCAGTTGTTGTCGTACTCACTCTGTACCACTGGTCGTCGAGCCTCAAACAGTGGGCGGAGACGGGCTCTCTTTCAAGCTCTGGAAACATGTTCTCGTCGCAGGCCTTGTTTGCGCGCCTGAGGGCAGGGTTTCGGCCGGAGAGGCGTTGAGTCATCCACTGATTTATGGTGGGCGTCGATGCGACGTTTCATCAGAGCACATGGAGTGCCGTATAATGCAACCCTATATTTACTGTTGTTCCCGACGCGACGCAATATGTTGTTACATGGTTGGGGGTGCGTGACCCCGTGAACCTGTAAAACTACCCATACGAGCCGAAGGCTCAAGGGCAATATCTATACACCTAAAAGCCACGGAGAACAGGAAACACCGCTGTTGTGACTTCCTGCAGCACCAAGGTGCTCAAGTAAGACGAGCACATTTTCAACGCAGTGCGGACTTTGGCATGCGTATAATTCGTATACAAACCCCAGCGCAATCCACCCGCGCGCCTTTCTCACGTGCGAGCATTGACCGCTGTCTGATCCCATATCACTTTGCGATCACACCAGCAGCAGAAGCCCTGACTATCCGGCACCCGCTTTCCGTCCACCTTCTGCCATCCGCATTGTGGCCAGTCGTCAGTTGGCGCGTCCTGTGTCGCGCATAGATAAAGCGGCAGGGCAGCTGCATGTATGCGCGTGGTGACGGTTGTGATTGCGGTTGGCCTGCTAACTACCTGATGTCAGCCATGTACGCAGCAGCAGGCAGGTAGCTTCACTCCTTTGCTGTGTGGCAAACGAAATTTCTTGGCTTTTCAAATAATTACATTTGTTGAGGACCCTGTTGCCCAGACCAGCATTATCATTCAAGCTACTTACCGGGCGGAGCCCACAACTATTCCCCGCCCTCCAGGTGAGGCGCCCTGCCTCAGCGAGACTGGAAATGTGCAGAGCCATGGAAACTGCCACCACCTGCCACCACCCACACTCCCGTCAGCACGTGGCGGCGGGTGAATGTGCCACACCGTCCCTCACCCACTCAGTGCCCTCTGCAGACTCCGCGCTTTGAACCTTGAGAGAGACTCAGACCCTTGAGAGAGACTCAGACCCTTGAGAGAGGGATCAATAGGGATCAGGCTTTCAGAAATGCAATCCTCCCCCCCCACACACACTGTGTGTGACCCTTGCCAAGGCCGACCCCCCTCGTTTACGTACCTCACATAGCTTCAGGGGGTTTATGTCGAGGACTTCGTATGGCTTATAGTTATAGGTCCCGGTATAATTCAGCATGTGGGATACGTAAAGCGCTTCTTTATTGTACTCCACTACCAGGGGCTCTGCCAGGTCACGGCAGCTGCAGCCCTCATCGACAGCGGCGTTGCAGGGGCAGGGGCATATGCCCGATGGACTGCGCGCGGCAGAAGCAAATCCAAATGCATGCATACATTTAGGTGTATGCATGGGCAGATAGAAGAGACGGTGAAGAGACGCACGGGAGAAGAGACGCACGGGATCGAGCGGTAATATGCATGGATGTATACATAATTGTTAGTTGCACGTATGCCAGGTGTATGTATGGGCAAAGCCAGGAGTTCAGTGTGCTCCATGGCCTCCGCATTCCCCCAGCAGAGCCGTAAGGATGCCGGACCACAGCGGAACAGATGATCCATGGCGGCTCACTACCCTCGCTCGACTCTGAGCACTCGAGCCCAATCATGGTTTAACACCGGCAGGCAAAGAGTACTCAGGGAGATGCCAAGGGAGCTGAACCCTTCTTACACACGGAACCAGCCTTGCAGTATGGAGCATCTAGTCATCACGCGCCGTAAATGGATCTCGTTGTTGGTGCTCATCCTCCGTACGGAAAATCCCTCGAAGTAGCCCCCGAGTAGTGTTAGGTACAGAACCCCTCGCAACACCTCGCAGCCAACTGCAGCCGGGAACTAGACTGAAGGCCCCAACTTCCAGGTACAGGAGTAGAAAAGTAATAAAAAAGATGGATGAGGTAAGCAAGGAATAACGAACTACACGCATGCCGGCTCGCTCCCACACAGAAGCAAACGTCCCGCTACCCAAAAGCTAGTTCCCAACGTTAACGCCGCCTCTCGGTCCGTCCTGCCTGTACTGCACTGGGTTGGTTACTAATATGTAACACACTGAGCCAGAAGAGCTGGAGAATGAAAGGGAAAAGAAGCGGCTATAATAGCAGGAAAGGGAGGGACGACAACATGCGTGTTAAAGCGTGTCACACATGCAGGTGTCCTTATCCTTTTGCTTTTGCATGCGTGCATAATATGTAAAAGTTGCACTATATATACCACGCACGAAACGGCAATAAGATAAGATTACCTGTTAACACATCTAAGTGTAAATATTTCTTGCTGAGCTGTCAGGGATTTGCCTTGCGGAATCGTCAAATTGACGACGAGCTTATTCGTACATGCCAGAGTCTGCGAAGTGGCCAAGCAACGCGCATAGGTTTCGCTGTAATCAAAACAAAACAATTAAATGGATAAAAAAATTTTACCTCGGTAGGGCTGTCTTTGGTGCATTCCACAAGGTTGCCTCTCGCCGCTATCTCGCCATACACTACATTGCCCCAGGGGATTGAAAAAATTACACAGAAGATCAGCCTAGCTTCAAGCTTCCACTGGTGCATTGGACGGAATATGACGTCCGTTCGGTTTTACAAAATGTCGCTTGACAGCGGCAGACTGTAATTTAGCTGAGTTACAGCAGGTCCAAAATGCTCCATGGATGGGGAACTTATATCAATCAAACATTTTCTACGGTGTGCATAACATTTTTATTACGCCATCTGCTTTGACATGTATAATGTTGCAAGATCCTGAGACAAATTTGATTTGTAACGACCGCTTCTTTTCCGCGGACCATGGCGTTGGAATACCGGGAGACGGTCAGGACGTTACGGCAACGGAAATAATAACGCACGCGTTCTAATGTCCACCCCGAAATTAACCATTCATGCGAACATGGAACTAGGAAGGTCAAGTGCAAGCATGTATGCAGCGAATGCATATCCGTATACCAAACAGTTGCTAAGACGAATGCGCGGACACGAATCTTCTCGACTCTTCCATAAAATCACATATCCTTTTCTATAGCCCTGCCACCAGAATATGAAAAGCAAATTATTGGAGGCATATTATGAAAGGCAAGTTAGGCTTTTATGGAGCGCATTCCGCATTTTATGTATGACCACGCTACTGGCTGGATGGAAGAGCAACATTACATGTAATTGCAACGATTCAGCGCATGAACCCTTCACGCGCCTTGGAAAGTAGGGCGTCTTCTTCCCCAATCATCAGTAATGCGGTCATTGGCCCTCTGCCCTTACAGAGAGCGCCCTGCTCCGGGCAGGTCTGCTACAGCTTTAGGAAACCGCATATGCACGTGCTTCTTGCTAGTACGTGCCAGCGCTGGTACGTATGGCCTGTGCGTGTCCAGTTTTTTTTGCAAATAAAGCGCAAACAAAATAAGAATACCCCTAACACGATCCATCCTACATATGGGGAGTAGGCACAGGACGTGGCGCCCTTAAGCTTATTCCGCTGTTTTTGGTCGGTTTGTGCGTTTCTTTGCGAACGAGGGTTTGGACTCCTTGCCTGCCTCTCAATATTATAGGAGCTGGTTATCTTATGCCTAAGGGCCTAGGGCGGAGTCCTTGCTTGGCTTCGGAGGGCACTGCCAAGGTTAGTATGGCACAGCCCTAGCTACTTACGTGCCGCTGCTATGGAACTGCTGATGGGATGTTACACTGTGGGCGGCTCGTCCCGAGAAAGGACCGAGAGCACTGGGGGCCCTGACCGGGGACCGAAACACAGCGCAGGGGCGGGCGCGCCTCACTCTACGTCCGTCTGTTCCTCCGCGCGCGCCTCACTCCCTCACTCACGCCAACCGGGACGCTCTCCCAGCCCCTGGCTAGGCAACACAGCGGCGCAGAAGACTGCGAACCGAACTAAGCGAGAGCCGCACGAGAGGCGCCACACCACCTCTAGGAACCTAAACAGGCTATCTGGCCCCACTTCGCCTGGCCAGCCTATTCGCGCGCTCTCGTCCCTCTTGACCGCCAAAACAAGAACAAAGAGAAAACACCACCGGGGGCAGGGGCTCTACTCAGGGGGCTCCACTACACACTCAAAAACCAAGGCAGGGGACGCCTAGCCACGTCAGGTACGGCCCCTCAGCAGACCCTCCTAGTCAAAGGCCCCACGCAGCCAGCAAGGCAAGAGATACACGGAGGACCACGGGCCTGAAACGCCACACCACAAAAGCCAAGACGCGGTTGCACCGAGAAGACAAACACAACACGGGCACTCGCACACTGGTCCTCTAAGGCCAGATGTTCAAGTACCACAAGCAACGCACACCTCCCGAGGGCGGCCACCACTACCTCACCGGTCCACTCACAACCAAGGCAAAAAACTCGTCTGCACGGCAGTCTCCTCCTGGGGGTTGCGGGCTTCCGGGCGCAGCCCAGCATAAGACAAATCAAAAACACCTATTGCCGCGAGGTATACACCTGTTGTATACTGTGAGCTTTCTGCAGAGCTTGCGGCCCCATGGCCTAACCGTCGGTTGTTTGTTCGTCCAGCTCGGTTTACTTCAACTCTGTTGTAGTTAACCAAAACCTGTTTATGCTTGCTGAATATGAATTCAGTTTTAACTAATACATATGTTAGTTAGCCGGTGGCTTGCGACTACTGTTGGTCGATCGACCAACGAACTCGCGAGTTCAGCCGCACTGCTGCGGAAGTCCATACCTGCATATGGCCTTGGGCTTTATCTGCATAAAGCTGGGACCTGCGTCCCTGGTTCCTCCCTGTTCAACCGAGAGAGAGTAATTCCTGTTTGGATTACGGTCATCTGAAGATCGCACCCCCCAGTCGTACGGGGGGCCTTATCGGCGCGAAGCCCAGTTTGATGCCAACGCCGCTAAGGCGGCCCTTGGCTCACCGGGCCAACGGTCATCGTACCAACGGTACATTCAAGAACTATTCATAATCTTCCAATACCAAACGGTATTTATCAATACCACCTTTTATCGTTGGATATTTTCCTTTCGTAACTGCTTTGCCAACTGCAAGCCTTGTTACAACTTTGGTATCTTAGACCAACCGGTCAAAAGACCTCGGAGTCGAGTACTCCAACGCTTCCGCACATACCTTTTAGTTTTTTCAAACATTTTCTACTTATCCTTCATGGCAAGCCCAAGGAACCCTCAACCCGCCCAGTCGGCGGAGGCTGACCATGAGCGCTACCAGCTGCGCCAGGTGAGCCCTTCAAAAGCACAAAAACTGGTACATAAGGTCCAGGACATGTACGAAAAGTACGTGAGGCGTGCCCAGCGTAGGGGCATCACACCGACGTCGCGCATGTTTGACAAAGTCAGACAATTTTGCGAGGAGCAAGACTATCGCTCCGCACTAGGCTTCCTAATGGAAGCTAACGAGGAACTCTCTTACGTGCAGAAAAGCCGCGAAATGCGGGAACGCTTAGCCAATGCAGCGCAGGACGCCGACAACAACGACCCAACAGGGCCAGGGCCATCGCACGCAGCCAACGGCTGCCGCCCCGGGGCCGACCAGGGTAACGTTGCCCACGGCCGCGCTCCAGCCGCAACGCGGCACACGGCAGGGTGAGTTGCACGAAGAGCGTGAACATAACGACACCACTGCGGCTGACCTCGTCCCGCCTGAGGGGGGGTTGCCACCACTTTCCCACCCACACCGCCCAATTGGTGCAATGCCACCATGTAGATTGGTGCTTAGGTCCCCGCAACAAAATGTTGCACGTATTATCACGCGAACTGACGATATGGACCCCGCGGCACACCCAACAGGTGGAGCCCCAAGCGACGACAAACTTGATAAGCTGATGGACAAAATCGACAAAATGTCGAAGAGAATGGAAGACATAGAGGCGCACATCCAGGCGCAAAGCCGCCGGCGGCCTGGATGTGCGCCTGCGCCTGCGCCTGGATGTGCGCCTCTA